TCACTCTTCTTACTCTAACTTTTTCGTCCCCACCAATTTTTCTCTTCCGTTTTTCTTCACTCATCTTCCCGCACTTTGTCCCGTTCCCCTCTGCCACAGTCTCTTTGCTTCACTCTTTATTCCCTTATTTCTTTCCTTTTCACTGTCTTCTCCTTCCTCTCCAGTCTTTAATAATAGTACACCATTAGGTAAAATACTTTGGTTAACAGATTCCCGTTGCTTGCTTCATTTTTATCTCAAAACATTGTTTGAAATATTAAATTGGCAGGCTCTGTAATAATCTCCTTCACTTTTCTTCCCATCAAGTCTTCCTCGTTTCTTTCCTTTTACTCTACCTGGCTTGCTATATGTTTGTGGTGATGTTATGGATTCACTTGACACCTGCTAGCTTCTGGCCGAGTTGGTTTTCCACAACATTTTCAAACTAGCATGAGCAAGTAGTAAAAGAAAGAGTGCTATGAAAGTCCAGAGTCCAGCCAAAGGGAGTTCCTATCTCCCACAGAAAATTCTGCTCTGAACTGCCTGAAAACAGCTCGTTTGTAGTCCAGCCACTTCCCTTTCATCCCTGTGACGACACAGGGATGAAAGCAAATTGCACCTTATATAACGCTCGCCAAGCGGCTACTCCGACGCGCCCTCAAAAACACCAGTGGAAAAACAGTGAGCTGCGGCACAAACCTCTCCTCTCCCTTCCAAACACTAGCTACCCCCAGGCAGTCAGTGGACAGGAACTTGTTCCTGTGATGTAGAGACAGAGCTCAGTTAAAACTTTATGGATGAAAGATACTTTTGTTACAGATTAATAACTCACCACTGTAGTGAACAACGGTGTGGATTTGTGCATTTTATATTGAATAAATTTGGAGCTACTCTAAATTCCTTTCTCCTCCCCCAGAGAAGAAAGCAGGGGTCAAAGTTGCTTTGTCTAAGTGCTTTCCCTGACCATAAAGCTGGCACCCTTTTGATTCCGAAACTGATAACGACTGACTGTTAAACTGACAAAGGGACACAAGCCATCCATTAGCATTTCCCTGAACAGCCTATCAAAACTGGCCTCCCACACATGTTTCCTGGCAACTGACTTTGCTCTATGTTTATTATCCCATCAAAGGGATACTCCTTGTCTCACCTAAGTGTGACATAATCCAGGACAGCCGAACTTTCAATGTAAAAAAGACTGCAGTCTCCAAAGACTCAAAGCATTTAATTAAGTTAATTAAATCTTTAGTTACCTGATTACGTTTGCCTCTATTTGAGCAGTTATGTAACTGTTGTTGCTATCTGTTGTTGATATTAGTGCTGAAAAGAAAGTTACTTGTGCAGTGTTTTTATTTTCAGCAAGACACTCCTTCATCTAATGTAATCCAAGCTTTCCTCATGTAACCTGAGCTCCCCAAGTGGACGAAATAAGTATTACATGCCCTCGTCGTTAAATGTATAAATATCCTGACCAATAATGTGACAACTGTTTCCTGTTACCAAATGCTTAGAACAGTACAACCGTTCAACCATTGAGGCTCGATTGTGGAAAATATTTGATTATAATACGTGCAAATAGATTTCTTTTTAGACATTAAGTTTAGAAAGACAGTCCCTTGGGAAACCTGAGACGCCCCCTGGGGAACCACGCTCCAGGCAACAAAAGAACGACACGCGACCTCGCTTCGCCCTCTTCTCTTCGCTGTTGGCTCTTCCACTCTGCTCGGCCCTCTGGACGCTTCGGCACGTGTTTGGCGTGCCTCGCCAGGCAACGCCCTCAGACTCGGCCAGCGAAACAGGCTTTTGTTTCGTCTGAAGCTACACACCTGAAGTGCCGAGACATCGATCTGCCTTCAGTTTGTTTTATTTTTTTTTTATTTTGTTTGTTAAGGTTATCAGTCCGTTAAGTTACACTGGACTAATTCAGGAACGACCAAGTTCCATTTTAAGCCTTTTTCGTCGAGCCAACTTCACCGAGGTCAGACCAAGCCACGTGGTCTCGCCAGCTACAACGAAGGAAACCTGAAAACAGCCGAATTTCCAGACGAGGGGCGTTTTCAATCAGACACGGAGAACCCTGGAGAATCCCTAGAAAAAGCCAGGATCGGCAGCTAGCGTGGGACCCGTGCAACAGCCAAAAGCAGGCTGTCGACAAGCAGTAAGACTTAACACACGTTCTGTGATCAGATTCCCCTCTTAACTCCTAAAATCACAGCATTAGTTTACTTTCAGTAGCTCTTCTATGCCGTATGAGTCAAATGCTTCCCACAATCGAACCTCCAGGCTCATTGTTCAGCAAATGTTTATGTTCCCTGTATCCAACCATCTTTATACATTAGTTAGAGATAAATTCACTGTAATATAATCAAGAGCTGTGTGTGTTGCCTATTTATAGTTCCTGCCAAGAGAATTGAGCCTTTAGATATGAGACTGACTGACTGATTTAAGATAATTGAGCGATTATTAACTAACTGATCACTAGTAATAATTGTATAATTATTCAAAACTACCTAGAGGTCCGGAGACTCTAGGATTATAACAGCTCCAGTGGTGCCCTGAAATGAGGAATAAATTTTGATTTTATGAATATTAAAATTCATAATTTGGTATTAATTCTCACAAATTTATTAAATTGCATAACTATAAATTTAGGTCTGCTATACCACTCTGAAACTCTTGCTCCAGCCCATGTTGGCAAGCTGGTCGGCAACGTGTACAGCTGAACTGAAGCCTGTTCACAAGCTTCTCACTGACCCGCCGTTCTCTGCTTCTGATTGGCTACCAGTCCTCAACTAGGAACTGCGCATGTGCAACTCCCAACAAAGATCATTTAGAGACCAGATGTATCACCACAGAAAATTAAACCATGTAAGCCTGTTCTGGTACAACCCCTAAATAGGATTTTGAACCAGAAAATGATCATAATACCAGCTCTTTAAACTGAAATTCATCCCAAATGCTCCACTGAATAGTTTATTTTTATTAATTATCAGAAACTTACATCCACAAGTTCAGGGGATCAAGCTGAATCTCCTGGTATAGGCCCACCCATTTCTACCAAAACTTTTTTTCG